CATTGGCAGGTTGGTATGGTATGGGAGCAGATATTCCTGATGGCCTCTGGGTCCTAAGCCATTGAGCACTTTGAATTATGCTGATCATGCTTCCAAGGTAAAAACTAGTGTATCATCAGGTCACACAAATATATATATGATAGCAGTACCTCTCACTTTAGTTCCATGAAGCTCCTCCTGGCTATTATTTTACATATTACAAATAAATTGCTACTAATCTTTCACCTACTTCTGCTAAAATGTCAAGTGGTCTTCAACTAAGCTTTATGCATGAGTATATTCTAGAAATTAATGAAATGACTAAGTTAAATCCATTAATTTCAATAGGTCTCACCTGATAAAACCTTTGCTGGAGACCACTCTTGGTTGCAGATGATGAATTTACATTGGCATGTGCTTTTACTGTTAGGCTTCACTGTAGCAAGAATATTTTGGTGCTGAATTACTGCTGGAAGATCCAGAAATATTTCAGTAGAACAGCATTAGTTTTCTCCTTGCTGAAATGGCCTTGCAAATAGTACAGGGGAGAAAGTACATTTCTGTTGAAGGTATTGCTGGAGTAAATGACCGCACTTGAAATAGTAGGGAATCAGGGGGTGGGAGATCAACCAGAAACATGACCATTGCATACCATTACAATCAGTTTGATTCTCCTTATCCTTTTTTTAAAAAGGTATGCTAAAGTGCCTTGATATTTTCAAGCTTTTCATCCATTTTGCTCAGATTGTAAAAAATCTTCAATAACTGGTTAAGAGAAGCAGAGAGAAATGGTTCTTGGATTAATGATGTTCCTGATATTCCTTGATGCTCCTTATTCTTTGAATTAATGAGATGGAACAAAGTGCTGGAGTCAGCAATAGGAGTAAATATTGTACATCAATCTGAAAGGAAGCTGAACAAGGCTTTGGAAAAGAGGGGAATACAAAGGTGTAATTATTCATTGTAATTTGATGTCAAAGTGATGTGCACTGGCTTGTATTCCCTTGGGTGGATCAGTTCTTTGCAGAGAACCAGGCTCTGTAAATACAGCTGTGATCTCATTCACATCTTGGGTAGAGTGAATTATTATGTACTACTAATCTTAGAATAAATATACAATGCTCTTTTTAAACTCATATTTGTATAAGTCTTTACAATACAATATATTTTTCTGTCCTCCCTAATCCCCTTTGTTAAATCCACCACAGTCCAACATTCATCCCAACAAGTTTTGCCAAACTGATTTTTTTAAACAAAAACAACAGCAACAAATCATTTCCCCTTTAGTCTGTTTTATCAGATGTAAGATCTCTTTTTATTTACTGTATGGCATGCACCCTGAGCATTTGTTTGAATAAGTCCACAAATTAATCAAATCAAACTAGTAACAACAGCAATATGTAGCAGCACAGGAGGTGTGGAAAGCAGCTCAGTTCTGCTACCAGAGTCAAGAGACTACAATTAAAAAACGGTGTGCTGAATAGCCTTCTAAGCAACCTTTTAAATCCATCTAATCTCTGAGTCCGAATTGTTGGGATTGATTTGCATTGCCCCAAAATGGCCTGGATTGCCCAGAAAAGTTGTCACATTCCAAGGAATTAACAGATTGCTGTGGCCCATGGTCAGATCAATTTTCAATGCATGATGAATTACACACACATACACACACACACACCACTTTGCCACATACTACGATGGGGCAAGGGCAATCAGATGACTCTTCACCACATGACCATATGTACTGTGCCAAATGATCAGTTGTGTAAAGTGACATCGCCCTTAAGTTCAGCACGGTTCCTGATAAAAATTACCCCAGGAAGGTGACCTCTTTCATAAGCTTCCTTCAGCTCAGTGGCAAATCCCAGTTTACTCTTACAGGGAAACCTTGCTTTAGCATTCTCTGTCTTTGTTTGCTGAAAAGGTCTTGACTACACACTACACTGCAGTTTACTGATGCTCAAACATACACTGTGTTGGTTCAAAGGGTTGACATTGTTATGACTGTCATTCTCTCTAGCCCTGCTGCCAAATTTGAAGCAAATCTTGTGTTTACATAATGGTGTATTATCCCATGCCAAATATTATCCCACAGGCTTTGTGGACATGGTTTTCTTACCAGGGTTTCCCCCAGTGAATATGCTTACATTCTTAGAGAATCTATCAGATATAAAATAGTGAAAAAATACTTTCCCCCCCTTTAACAGTACAGAGCTAGGTAATAAACAGAATATGAGCTACAGCTGCAATTTTAAAACTGAATATACTGTAGTCATTGTGGAATCCTGCCCTATCAAAATTATTGTTGTTGCTGTTAAAATTTACATACCACCCTATACCTGGGGATCTAGGTACAAATGGGGTACAAATTATATAGGCTTAAGAAGTATGCTTAGTCTTGATAGCAAAATATCTGCTCTGACTAGCTTTTTCGTGCAACCTGTGCACATTATAGCTTGGATCCAAAGGTGGCCTTTTGTTCATGGAAGGGTATCTTCCATTCATAGAAGGGGCTTTCACACATTGAAGTGGGAGAGGGAATTTCACTGAGACCTTTTTTTTCTGCAGTTTTGGGAAGCACATGGGGAGAGAGGGGGAATGTTCTATTGCACAAGCAGAAATTCTTGTGATAACGGAATGAGTGCATTGGATAGCAACACATGTTATTATCCCCCGCCCGGTAACATGCCCCAGGAGTTGATGGACAAATGTTACCAGGGAAGCTTAGTGGGCATTTCACATGTGGAACATTAAATAAAAAATGATTGAAGTACATCCTTACTTTGAAATGGCTTGATACTTTGGCTAGACAAAGGGCAGCAACAAGCTGTAAAGCATTGCTGCAAGGCTATATTTCATTTTAAAATCTCTAATGAGAGACTTTCCACGTAGCATTACAAGACTAGTATAAAGTAGGTAGGAAACAATCTAACAGCATGCAAGACCATCACCTAGGCAAAAGTTGCCATTTTGCTTTTATAGAGACCATTTGTCTGTCTTTAAATCAATTGGGAAATGTTGAGAAGTTTAATGTGCTATTTTCCAGCGTTTCATATAGTAAATAATGCATAGTGGTTTAACTAGTTTACCTCAAAACTGATTCTATGCAATTAATTTACTATCTTTCTCTTTCAAATATTTGTTTTGCTTTGTTTTCATATTTATTGTATGCTATCTTTCACAAGAAATGAATGCCTCACATACCCTCCAACACTTCTCCAGTGAAAATAGGGATGTTCTATTCTACATCAGGAAGCTTCTCCTGTGTTGATCTTGCTGCAGACATAGATGCCATATACACATTGACATCTGTCAACTTGAGCCAACTCCAACTTCTCCACCTCACCTACCTTCCGCAGGTAAATAGAATGAGATAACATTTTATCTTTAAGCTGCTTCAAGTCCCTCCTAGGGAAGAAGGCAGAATGATGATGATAATGATGATGATGATGATGATGATGATGATGATGATGTGATAATATTCAGGAACATACCAGAGAGTAAATCCTACTGAACTCAGTGGGACTAAGTAAAAATGCTTAGGTTTGCAGTGTAAGGGTGCACAGACTTTATCCAGTTATCTGGGAGTAAGGTCAATTGAATGCAGTGGGACTTACTTCTGAGTAGACAGTGTAATGCTCTATTTACAATAAAGGAATCAATACTCCACATGTTTCCTAAAAATTGCTGGCTGCTGAAGCATGGCAATTAAAGAATTTAGGGTGGATTGGTGACATATTCCTTCAAAATTATAGGAAGGGCTTTGTATGCCAGCTTCACTATTTCCTTCATTTGGTGCAGGTATTTTAATTTCAGTATAAACAGGACTCTGTTTTTGCACAAACTAACAAACAAATACATAACACTTTTAATTGTTATCTGAGAACCTGGAATAGATCTGGAGCCACAGCTTCCACCTGCCTCTTTCATTGTCTGCCTTTCTTTTCCTTCCACAGCTGAGGGAACCAAGATTATTCTTCCTCTTTCTGTCTCCATGGTTCCGGTTTGCCTTGTGACCTATGGAGCCAATGGTTATGCAGGGAGGTCCACTGTGCAGGGCTTCCTACACCTTCCAGCAAAAAGCTCTTGGCTATGCACAATCTTGTGTGTATGCGCACCCTGTGGAACGTAGCCCTCACATGAACTGCAAACATACAGTACTGTGTTGTGCTCAGCAGGATCAGCAGAATATAATTCCAACTTTTTTGTTGTTTTAGATGAGAAGTCAAAACGTTACCTGGTCTCTCACCATTTCCCCAAGACCTCTCGGGGTGTACATTCACCGCAGATCCATGTGAACTCACCACTAGCAGAAAAATAAATTATTCAATTCATATTTAGCACACTGCAAGCTTCAATAAAGACTCAGTGAAGGAGATGTTGAAAACTGACTTAAAATAGTCTTCACTGTTTTGTCTACATTGTTTTTATTGCCTCTGAAAGAATAACCTGTCTGAAAATTAAAATTAAAATTTGTCAGCCCAGCACTAATTAATTTATATGGTGAATATCTGATCAATCTGTTTCAGAAATGCTAGGATTATTATGAAATATAATTTGTACTACTTCTCAAATCTTTCTCTCAGCATAAGGAAGATGATTTGGTTGCCATGGGTACCAGTGAGAACAGTCAAGATGGAGAGGGAAAGAGAGAGAGATAAATTAAAACTGATAATATTTAGGTTATATAGTGACCTCAGATATATCTTTTTCTGTAAATAACAATGACACAATAACCTAAGAACTTTAAGGCTAGATTGAAATCTTTTCCCATTTCTTAATCTATTTATTCCTCTACAGCAAAGCTATTGTTGCTTAATTTGCCTGTAAGCATAATTGGTTGTTCCCAGTGTTACTCCTACTCAGAGTAGGCCTATTCATTTCCCTTCATCTCAATGGGTCTACTATGAGTAGAACTTTGTTAGATGAAGCCAAATAATTCTACATTGATATCAGAGAGGATCTGCAAACAAAAGTATGCCTGTTGTCATGAAGTGGCTGGATGAAGAGGAGTGGTAGGAGGCACCGGCTCAGAGTCAGGAGACTGGTGGTGGGATGCATATGAGTGGTCAGAGGGAGAAGACGGAGCAGACTGGGAAGAGGAGATGTCATAAGGTGAAGAGGTAACTGAGTTTAGTGAACAAGAAGAGGCAGTGGCAGAAAGCAGTCCAGAATCAGAGGCAATAGTAGAGGCAGAGAGGAAAGATGCAAAATGAAGCACGCTGCTGAAGAAGCCAGATGTTCACCCTCTCCTGCTACAACCAGCTCACCTCCCCCCTGGTCTTGCAGGACCAGAAGAGGTATGAAGAGGGCGGACCAGATACATACACATTGAAGGAGTCTTGGATTGCTTGGGAAGGACCTGAAGGGGAGGAGGCTTAGGCAACTATGGGAAGGTGAGGACCTTCTGAGCTGTGGTATTGCTGGCCTGTTCCTGTCACCTGCCTCTGCCACCTGCATACATTTCCTAGCTGGATGAGAAAAGCATCCAAAAGTGAGTTCTGGGTGCTGGTTCATTCTCAAATCTCACATCCATCTCTCCAAAGAACAGCTGATTGGTGCTATTACTGACTGCTTAATGCCTACTGAGTACACAAAATGAATCATCTCAAGAGAGCAAAAACAGCAAAGAAAGAGAATTGTATTTCTCCATATAAATCTTTAAAGTAAGCAATAGCATTCACATACAGTGACTCACTAACATTGCCTAACACCAATATTTAACTATCCAAGAACCTGCAGTTATATAATACAGATAGTTGTGAGGCTATTTTTATTTACTTTATCTTATTCAGATTTATATTGCTTTATATTTCAACAGAAATCCCTAGGCAGTTTGAATACCACTCCCAAAAAATACAACACAGAGTGATTGAGTTGTCACCATTGTCCCACCAATGAGGAAACAAGGCTGTGCCCAACAACCTACAATTTGGAAGGTAGGGTGGTAAAAGTTGTGCTTAAAGCTTTTGCTGCTTCACCAGTCCAGAACTGGTAGGGACTGGCAGGGCTCCAAAGAACCATCCCTTCTGTGTGGCAGAGGCAGGGGACCAGGGGAGTGATCCAGGAAGAGAGGACGGGTGATTTATGGGGTGTAAGGCAGCAGCCAGGGAGGAAGGACAATCAGGGCACTCCGAGGCAGAGGAAGGCAGGAAAAATGTGATGGAGAAGGAAGGGATGGTTCAGGCAAGGGACATGCCAGAAGATTCCCCACCTTTCCCCTGCCCCACTGTTTCCAAGAACCATGAGGGGCTTGAAAATAGAAGAGCAGGAGAAGTCTCCAGTTGTGGGCACACAATCTTTCAGAGAAGGGTATATAAGCTGGAGGATGCCCCGCCCACTGTTTAACTGTTTCATAGGGCTCAGACCTAGAGGCTAAAAGCATATGGGTGTGTGTATCAGGAGGACCATGGAAGTTGCTGTTAAGTGTTTCTCATGCCAATAAGAAGTTAACTATCGGATGTGTGTTTCTTCCTTCTCTGGGATAAAGGTAAAGGTAAAGGGACCCCTGAACATTAGGTCCAGTCGTGACCGACTCTGGGGTTGTGGCGCTCATCTCGCTTTATTGGCCGAGAGAGCCAGTGTACAGCTTCTGGGTCATGTGGCCAGCATGACCAAGCCGCTTCTGGCGAACCAGAGCAGCACACGGAAACGCCGTTTACCTTCCCGCTGGAGCGGTACCTATTTATCTACTTGCACTTTGACGTGCTTATGAACTGCTAGGTTGGCAGGAGCAGGGACTGAGCCACAGGAGCTTACCCCGTCACGGGGATTCAAACAGCCGACCTTCTGATCAGCAAGTCCTAGGCTCTGTGGTTTAACCCACAGGGCCACCAGTGGCAATAATACTGTCGAAGCTCCTTTCTCCCCACAGGATTCCAAATGTGTGCTTGTGATGCCAGACAAAATTGTACAAGACTCTAAGTTTAAGAAGAAACAAATGAACTTTCCTCTGAGCATCAGATGAATTTGTCTTATTCTGGAGGACAGTTTGCCTCAGTCACTGGACAACTTTCCATTACAGCCTCCTTCTTTGACTCTGCCTCCTTTGGTCACATCATTACCGAGAGCCATAGAAACGGAACTACAAATTGTTCCCAGCTTTCAGTTCAGTGAATATCTAATTTGGTGAGGGGTGTAGCCGAAGATAGGGAAGACATAATTTGTGGATCACATGAAATATGGAGCACACATTAATTTAATTTTGATTTGCATTCACATTTTGTTCTGACATTTGACATTTTAAAAGTCTGGAATTGTTGATCAACAGAAGAAGAAAAATCAATACTTGCTTTAACAGGGTTGTTTTTTTGCCATATCAGAGATGAATTTGAACAGTTTCATTTATAATGGAAATGTCCATTTGGAGCAGACAGTGAGCAAAAGAGCAACAGAAGATCTGCATTTTTACTTACCAGAAAAGTCAACTTATGATTACATTCAGCTTTTTCAAATGATTCTTTGATAGAAGCCACTGAGTATTTTGCTGGATTTGAATATCACAGGTCAAAGTTCAAATTCCATCTCAGCTAAGAAATCACAAGGCGATCTTTGTAGACTACCATTAATAACCAGTGTCTTGTCAGTGGACATTTTTGAAATGAGTTAAAGTCCAACCTTTTCCAGCCCAGATCCTAAAACATTTGGGATAATGCAGCAGATGACTAGGCAGAGGCATGGAAAATAAGGGTGTGTGTGTGTGTGTGACAAGTACAGAGAAAGACTTACCGTATCTTTTTTGAAAACCATACTTTCCTACACACACACACTATACCATCGCAAATATTATATATAATTACATAATACTTATTCTTCAGAAGAGACAGTTGCACTTGAAAAAAAAGTAGTATACAGATGAAAGCAACCCAGCTAATTTGAAACAGTTCAATTTAATTCTGAAATACTAACTTACTGGAAGACCAGCTGTTCCCCTCTTTCCCCAAAAGTGTCAAGATATGATTACTTCTGTAAGATAGTCATTATTGCAAAGCTTGAAAAGAAATTAGGAAGAGGGCCTGTCAGTACATTTCATAGCAAGTCAAAAGATGAGTCAGCCAGAGAAAATAAGAGATGTTGCAAAGGCAGGAATAGTAGTAGTTCTTTACATCTCTAGAATTCCCAAGTTAAATAAGAACTTAGGAAAGCTCTGCTGGATCAGGTAAAAGACGTGTCTAGTTCAGCACCCTGTTTCCACACTGGTCAATCAGGCCTGAACGCAACAGCACCCTCTACATTTACAATTTCCAAAAATTGGTTTTCAAAGGCATAATGCCTCCAAAGGTGGAGGTAGAACATAGCCATCATGATTACCAGATGTTGATAGGCTTTTTCTCCATCAAATCTAAGCTTAACTATGAATTTCATAAAGTAGTAGCTGTATTATACAATTTGCATTCTTTTTCTTTTTAAAAAAGTTCATATTGCTGATAATGGGAGCGTTTCCACTATTGGAAATTGCTGTGGGGTGGGTGAGGAGGCAAGTATTAAACTTCCCCTCTCCATGCACTGTGATCCTGATCCAGATTTAGACCCATGCTTAATTCTGAGCAGGAAAAAAAGCACATACATAGCTATGTAGTAAACATAGTGTGCTATTCGACTCTTGTGTGCTGATGCAGTAAATGGCCATTGGTGTGGCTGTGTAAGGTAACTTCAGGTTTTCAAATTTTATCTTGTCTTGTTAGCGTAGCCCCATTATGAAATTCCATAGAATTAAAACCTACAGATGCAAGAACTGAAATGAAATACACAACTGTTAACAGTTAACATTTGATCATACATAAGCACCTTTTTACACAAATAACCGAACCGTTGTTTTTTTTTTAATGTGAGATGAGATCACTTCCAGATCTTGCAACAATATCTGGGAATAATTTTAGCTCACAAATCTTATATTTATCTAAGCAGAACTGCATTTTCAGAAGCTGTGTTTTACCCAACATTTTACCTTGATCTTTTATGGGCTTAAAGCTCATAAGTGTGCCAAACGGTTATTAAGTGGCCATGTGGCTTTAGCAATATTATGCTACCTTTAACCCTTAGAGACCAATAAAGAGGGTATGACCTTTATTTCTTGTAGGTGCCAAGTATGCTCTTATCATCTCCAGGCTAAAGTAGTTTATTGCAACTATCTTAAGTCAACCCAAGAAGAGCTATTGGGAGCCATAGGGTAAGATTAAAGGCAAATTGAAAAAGCGCAATGCTTCAGCAGCATTGGTGACAAGCACTAACACCAAAAATGCTGTCAAAAAAATAGACTTTGACCTTGTCTCTGCCACAACAGTTAATATCAACTGCTCAATAAGATGCTCTTATTGTTAGGCCTTGGAGATAATCCATTCAAATCTCCCAATAGTCTATTTTCAGTGAAAGTGTACCAGGGAGGAGACATTGGACTCCCTCGTTGATCATTCACAGTCTGAACTAGTGGCTGCTTGGAAGAGCAAGTCGCGGCCATTCCTGGTGAGTGAATTTGCTTCAGCCATTCTTTGGGAGCACTTCTGTCAGTTGGGCTGGGCTTTTGCCTGCTAGCCAAAGCAGCAGGTTGAAGAATTCCTTCACAGGCAGATACACCCATAAGAAAGCACCCCAAAAGGCTTTCTGTGGAAAGCGAGGATGCTTTTTCACATGCAATTATCCTCTCGTTTTGACTATGTCGGACCTGCTCCTGAGGAAATTTGCAGTGCTCTTCTTGGCAGTGTTTCACATGTACAGAACATGTGAGATGTCATGGAAACCATGAGACTCAGGTGCAAGTATACCTTGAACAAATGCCAACACAATATAATCCTCAGTTCTAGGTGTCACTATAGGGCTAGGTAACTCACTTTTTGTGTTTGTCTGTCTTTCTTCTTTTCAACTTATAAATGGCATCCTGATTGGACTTTCAGACTCTGAATGTTTATCCAGTAACTCACAATTGGACAATTTACATAACACTTTCATACATTGAATTGTAATAGCATCCTTGTCTAAAGTGCACCTGGTAAAACTCACTAACAGTTATGATTGGAATGATTACTATCTCATTCTTCAGTGCCATGGCTTTGGAATCAAATATAGGGAGAAAGCAAATTGATTTAAATTGCAGTCAAAATGACCCAAACACCTTTCTTTAAAATATGGTTAAAATGGTTCACTAATTCATATTCATATTCTTACAGAACTGGTGACAAACTGGAAGATCTCTAGGTTAGAATTATTTTGTTTTATTTATTTATTTTTATTAAACACATTTATACATGATATGTATTGCCATAGCATACTGTTATCTTGAGGAGATTAGGGCTCTGTGCAGCAATCTCCCCTCTCATGCCCTGATAATGCCTAGAAACCCTGTGGGCATGGGAATTCTACTGGTTATTTCTGTTTATTCCCTGTTATTTCATAAAACTGTAGTTTATCATAGTTATAGTGAGACAGCACTATGTGGGAATTGTGACCTAAGCTTCCGCAAGGATCTCACACTACCACCCGGAATAGGGAGTGCTGGTTAGGGTTTAGCAAAAGAGCTGCTGAAACAGCAATTCAGAAAAAAATAAACAATGCGAGCGTACATGCATGCGCACACACAGACACAACACCACCAGTTCCCTTTCTATCTGCTGTTGTGCTACATCTCAAACTGCATTTTAAAACTCACCCGTGTTTTTAAATAATACAGTAGTCTGGGACCTGGCAATTGTTGATGGGTGAAGCAGCTGCCAAAATGGAGACTCTTGTCCTGAGAGTGTGCATGCCTACCTCTGGGTCTGTGTATCAATGAACTGTGGGAAATCTGAATGAGTGAAAAAGTCACTTCCTAAAAAACACAGGTAGATAGAAAACTTTAATTGCCCCTTCCCCCCTTTGTATTGTCAGCACTCCATCTGAAAATCCAAAGCAAAGTCGCTTCTGCTGAATGAGATTGTCCCACCATATTGCAGTGGACAGACTTCACAGATAAATCCTAATGAGGACATAACAGCATGACACGGCCCATGTGTCCTATTATTCATTCAAACATGAGCTCAGAAATATACTGCCTGATGAGTTCGTAGATATCCATGTGGAGCAATGAAAGTTTGCAATTCCTAAGGGACAAGGGGATGAGCAATTGAATGGGAGAGGAAGTCAATTTCCCCCTCCTCCACAACAAAACTACAATTATTTGAAAGGGGGAGGGGAGGGAATACGTTTTCACTCTACTGCTCTCAATGCACAAGGGGATAAAAGGGAGATGGGAAGCCTTCTGTCCATGCAGATGTTGCTGGACTCTTAATAATTCCCAACAGCTTCAGCCAGCATGACCAATAGTCAGAGCTGATGGAAATTGTAGCCTAATGACATTTGGAGGGCTATATGTTCTCCAGTCCTAGACTTTATTTATCAGTCATTTCTGAATTTCTCTCTTTTAAGGTGGATATAAAACTAGATCAATTGTGGTGTGGGTGGGTGGGTGTGTGATAGCTTCAGTCAAAATTCTCTCCAAAGCCACCTTTACATCTAACAGGTTTTTACTGTCATAGCCAACGGATTGATAAGAAAATGGCAATTTGTGCCGTAGGATATAGAAGAAAAGTAATGGACTGTAACCTTTTGCTGATCTTTACAAAGAAAAATATTCTGCTGGGAAACTACAGTGCTTATACATCTAACTAGATCAGAGATCTAGAACAGGATATTTCAACCTTTGCCATCACTTTTCTCCTTGTGGATAGAAAGAAAACTCAAAAATAGATAAATTGAAGGGAACAGGAACAAAATGTTCTTTTTTCTTATTTCTCTTTGTTGTCCATGACACTCTCATGGAAAGGATCACAGAATCTCAAGGGAGGGCAATATCATGGTTTGAAATAAACATTGAACTTGGAAGTCCAAATGAAGTCTTTGTCTGGACTCCATAGCTATTGTGTTTGTTCTGATACCTGAGTCTTCAGAAGGCCTTTTCCCCAGTAGTGATTGGTTGTTTCATGCATTTATATTTATATCTTATAGAATCCATAATACAGATGTTTAAAAATCTCAGACCTGGTCAAGTTCAAAAGCAAAATTTTAAAAAGGTGTGATTACTCTGCAGTTAATTTTAATTATAGGTTTTTCTGCATGTGTATCTATAGCTATATGTGAACCCACCTTATTTCTTATAAAGGCAAGTCTGTGACAAATCAACAAGCTTAATATCACTGATGTTCAAACCAAGCTGCAAGGCTCCATATTGCAGTTATATAAGCAAATTGCAGAATGTCTTAATGGACTTTTAATGAACATAAGCCACTTTGGCATTCATATATGCAAGGTATTCAATAAAATGGTAAGCATGGCTGAAAACATCTTATTATTAGATGTCATGTTTGGAGCGGCTGGGACCTTTCACTTTAAAGAATCTAAACAATTATTATCAATTCGGAAAGATAATGTCCATGCAAAGTTAATTCAAATGTCTCTTAAAATTAAATTGGGATTCAATCTGGCAACTTGATCAATCTCCATGTTGCAAACTGGAACTTGTAGTTCATTATGTGTAGTTAATCACTGGAGAAAGAGAGAGAGGCTTCTTTCCAATGAAGAAATAGAATTAATGAGCAAATAAAGACCAAACTCATTTTTCCCTATCTGATGCAAGCCAGTGCTTCCAATTTTTAAAATGAGTGTGGATCAAAATTTAAATTATTAGAGCATGGTTCCAAATTATAGTTTCCCTGGCTAATTATTCATTTCTTTCTTGTCTGTGAATTAAATGATTTTAACTTTTAAAAATTAGGCAATGAAAGGCATTCTATTCTGGTACTTTATATGCACAATCCCTGTTTCCAAAAACTCCTAATTTATAAACACAAATAAGGACCGAGAACTGGTAAGATCAATGTGAATTTTTCAGGCAGTTTTTATAGTGAACCTAGGCATTGCAGTACACACTGAAAGGCAGAGTCCAAGTGCCACTTATGGTAGAGCCATGCATACTGGCATGGTTTATGCTTGTAATGCTGAACCAAACTGGGTTGGTGGGACCATGCCAGAGAAGAACTCACAGTTGCTTTATTCCTCTCTAATCCTTTTTGCTACTGCACTAAGTTAAGCCAAGGTGAAGTTTTCTGCTCACAAACCATGAGCTGTAGCCAAGGTTTGTTCTTAGTGTGATTTGTGAACCAGGCTACTGGTGGCACTAAAAAGCAGTTCAACAACTGTGCAGTGGAAGTACTGTATCCTAGACTACTGTGTGTGGCAGACTTACTAAAGGGGTGGGGTGGGAGTCAGTAGTTTAACAGCAACGCTCAGCACTGTGTGGTTCTCCAGGCTAGCAAGAAACAAGGGAAGGAAGTGTTCCTGATGCTTCAAGAAGTAAGGGTCATAATTTCATACATGTGTGAATTTACTGCTGTTCTCAACCATAAGCAACCTGAGTGTTTTGCTTTAGGCTGGAAACAGAGAACTGCTGGAATGTTTTCAAAAATGGGGAATTGAGCAAAGAGTTTCTGTGTTCCAGTGTCCCTGGATATAAACAGAAACCTAGATAGCACTTAGAAGAGCACAATCTATTTATGGTGTAACCATGTACATGGCTCCACAGAAGTAAATCCAGCCCTGAGTTTAAAGGAAAGTTGGTAGAGGATTGCAGCATACGTCCCTGACTTCTTCTTGTGCTCAGTGTTAAGGGTGAGAGCAATGTACATGTTCACATGACCCACACGAGATCATGGAGCCCCAAAGACACACTTTTGGGGGGCAAAATTGTGGTGTGAAATAACGGCACCTAAAATGGCCACAGTGCTCTTGCGCAACCCCCCCCCAAAAAAAAAAAATCAGGGACACTTGCAGGGTATGCTTCTGTCCTGTTTTCTAACATTCCTTTCACACTGTGGTACTTGTTGCATTATAGAACTGTGGCTTTTTGACCAATATACCAGCATGTTGTACCAAATGTTATTCACATCAGTGAGTGTGGCTTGATGCAACAATGAATGTCATTGGACAACATTGCAACACTCTTTACCTTTCTATGCTTGCCTGCTTCTGTTCCCCCTGATCATCCATGAAAATAGGAGGAAAGAAATATATTCTACTATACTGACCCAAATTTCATCTTTTTATTTCCATGATTTTTGGGGGTTAATGGCTTGCAAACAGATTTTTTCTAGAAGCAATTAACATAGAAGCAAGAACTAAACTTCCACTAGATTCTGCTAGGTTTCCAAAAGTCACCTTTACATTGCATGAAAGCTCAAATATAAATGCAGAAATTGACAGGAAAATGTCAGAGGGAAAGAATAAACTTCTATGTGAATGCAGCCTTAGCAGGATTCCAGTCGTTTCAAGTTCAAAAACAAAGGTCAGCACCGAAGATGTTTTATATTGTTGGTTGTTTGCTGCTGCCTGGCAATTGCCCACAAGTTTCTGAGAATAGTAATTGTTTTGATGGATTGTTTTAGATGCTACCAAAAGCAGATGGGCAAAGCAGTAACCCTCTGAATGCAAGCAGGTTCATAATTTTGTGTGGACAAGGGAATCTGCCACTGTTACAAGTATTTCATGGCTCCAAAGGAAAAATATTGCTTATTATAATCATAGTAATTGTGAGGATATGTAACTGGGAAAAGGAAGTTAAAGCTTACATCAGTAGGATCCTTTGGGGGCTTTGTAATTTATTTTAAGATTAAGCGCAGCTAAGCAAAAATTGAGGCTCGGCACAATCTATGCAAGAACAAGTGTTGTTTCCTGCTGCTAAAATATTTAAGCATCACTCATGTTATCCATACCTATGTAGCTCAGCATTTCTCTTTGTTCGTCCAGACTTTTGCAGTTTTTCTATTAAATCTTACCCTAGTAGATAAGCAGATCTCTCTTTTTTCTGCAAAAGCCGTATTTTATTAAATGACTTATTCTACAAATTTCACCCTATGGTT